TTTAACAGGAAAGGCTTTAGTCGACCACATAAACAGTTATCAGCCATTTTTCAAGGTAAACTTTCAATTTCAATGTTCCTAGCTCTTGCATTCTTTATCCGATAACTAAAATGGCTTATATTTATCATTAGGAGCGATTGTTGCTTTTCATAGGCAAACCATTCTGAAGAGTCCTACGAGCAATTAAAATTTCGCTTGATGAATATGGAATATTTTACAAAGGTGGGGAATGTTGACGGAGCAGAAGAAATTGGTTTTGATGGAGAAATTCCACCAAGGTATGTGACATTCATTTTATTCATGGAATTTTTAGATTTGCTGTGAGCTCACTACTCTAGTTTCGACGCTCGTGAAGAGTGGCGAGAATGCGATTCTATCAAGTATATCCGCGATCAAAGCAATTGCGGTAAATTGTTTTTAATAGAGCCTTTGAACCCTTCAGAATAAATCACTTTTTAGGAGCCAGCTGGGCTATATCCGCAGCTTCGGCGATGTCCGATAGATTGTGTATCCAAACTATGGGACAGATAAAGGTTGGAGTAAAATGAAATCTATGGTAGTTCTAAGCTTTTTTGAATTGCAGACATTTATTTCGGACGCTGATATCCTTGCATGCTGTGGTGATAGATGCGGCTTTGGGTGCGTTTAACATATTCTTCAAGTTGAACTTTTAGTTCTCATCCAATAAAAATATAATTCTAGAAAAAATTGCCATTGCGATTGCAAGTCTTATGTAAGAGCAGCAATTCCAGATTGCAGAAGGGAATTTGATTTAAAAGTGTAGTTATTGTGAGAAACTTTATCCTATAGCATCATAGGAAAATTTATGGGAGAATCTGATGACTAATTTAGGCCAGTTACAGTCTTGGATTGCGTCAATTCTCATAAGATTTACATGTATACTCTTTTAATGCGCGCAGGGACCTTGTTTTCTTAATGATGTAATGGTCAAGAAATAGTGGCTTAGTGTCAAAAGTTAGTGCTACTAAAATGCGGAATGAACTTCAACTTGCGTCGCTGATGTTCACTAGTTG